AATGGAGCCCAGGTCTCACATATGATAGGGAAATGCTCTACCACTAAATTATATCCCCTGCTAAATATATTTCTATTATTTACAAACTACCAAGTCTAGGGTATTTTATTATACCAGCCCAAAAGGACTAAGAGCTTTACATACAATAAGTATACCAATGAATGCCAAATTTATCTTTTATTTTTCCATTAGGTACCTGGGATTAAACCCAGGGGTTCTTAATCACTGAGCCACATCCCCAGCTCTTTTTGATATTTTATTTAGAGACAGGGTCTCACTGAGTTGCTTAGGACCTCACTAAGTTGCTGAGGCTGGCTTTGAACTCACGATCCTCTTGCCTCAGCCTCCTGAGCTGCTGGGACTGCAGGCATGAGCCATGACACCTGGCTTGAATGACAAATTTATACCTCCAGATGGATATCTCTCTTATTTAGTCTATATTAATACTGTTTTGTAAACTTAACATATACTATAACTGACAAATAGAGTTTTATTTTGCTAAGCCACTGAGAACTCAGGGTTGCTTGTTAATGCAGCACAATCAGGACTACCCAACATACAGACTACTACTACCACTCATGTCCAAACACTATCACCTCCCACTCTGTGCTTCTGATCACTGCCTAGAGAACCTTCCTGCTTCCACTCTTGCCTCCTACAAGTTCAAGTTTCCAGCTGTAGAGCACCAGCCTGCTTTTCAAACATGCCAGACATGCTCTCAGCTCAGGGGCCTTTGCTCTGGATGTCCCCTCTGCCACACGTTCTTCCTATGTGCCTGCATGGCTCACTCCCTTTGGGACTGTCTGCTCATATGTCAGTTTCTCAGTGAGGATGACTCTGCTCCCTCATCAGATCCCCAGCTCTGGTGCTGGCATGCTTGTCATCCCATTCTGACAACCCATCGGGTAGATTTTTTGGCTTCCTCGCTAAGCAAGTTTTGTTTTGGTCAATGTTGTAGAGCAGTTTCAGTGGGTGGTAGGGGTGAAGGCCTAGCTGGGTGGGTTGCCAGAAGACTTGAGTGGTAGGCAGGATGTCTTGAACATGTCATGTTCTCCTGCCTTCACCCTAGCATGTTATGTAGCATGGCTAAAGGGACTTTGCAGGTGTAATTAGATTAGTAATTAGTGTTCTTTTTTTAAAAACATATTTTTCAGTTGTCAATGGATCTTTATTTTTATTTATATGTGATGCTGAGAATTGAACCCAGTGCCTCACACATGCTACGTAAGTGCTCTACCACTGAGCCACAACCCCAGCCCCATAATTACTGTTCTTAAAATAAGGAAATTATCATAGATCCTTTGCGTGGACCCAATCTAATCACAAGTTTTGTTTTTTTTAAAGAGAGAGAGAAAGAGACTTTTTAAAAATATTTATTTTTAGTTTTCGGTGGACACAACATCTTTATTTTTTATTTTTATGTGGTGCTGAGGATTGAACCCAGCGCCCTGTGAATGCCAGGTGAACACACTACCGCTTGAGCCACATTCCCAGCCCTGCGAGTTCTTTTAAAAAAAAAAATTTTTTTGTAGTTGTGTATGGACAGCTGTTGAGAGCCACAACCCAAGTCAAGATGGCGCCTGGCATTTTGCCAGAAGGAGTGGTTGAGAAGTAACTCCAGAGAGCCATTAAGATGATGATAATTAAGTTAAGCTGTGTATAATTATTAAGATAATGACTGATTGCTGTAACTGGATGATGCTAAATTGAAACAAGCTGTGTATTCAGTTGTGTATATAAACCTCTGCTGTCCGGCAATAAGGCGGCTCCTGCTACCTCGGGTGCACGCTACTTTTGAGTTCTCGCGGAGTTCCCGTTGAGTTCTGGCAATAAAGTAGTTCCTGTTTGAATCTACAAGTGGCTTGTGACTTCCCGGTTATTTGTGCCCAGCCAGACTGCGGCAGACAGCATGCCTTTATTTTGTTTATTTTTATGTAGTGCTGAGGATCAAACCCAGTGCCTCACACATGCTAGGCAAGGGCTCTGCCACTGAGCTACAGCCCCAACCCTAATCATTGCCACTGAGCTATAGCCTAAGCCCTAATTCTTAAGAGGAGAGACTTTGGGGCTGGGGTTGTGCCTCAGTGGTAGAGCACTTGCCTAGTACATTTGAGGCACTGAGTTTGATCCTCAGCACCACAGGAAAATAAACAATATACAGGTATTGTGTCAATCTACAACTAAAAGAAATATTTTAAAAAAGAGAGAATTTTCTTCAGCTGAAAGTGGGAGAAATGAGGTAGAAAGGATGGTTAGAGAGATTCAAAATGTGAGGAGGACTTGCTGGGTTTTGACAGTGATTACAAACTGGATAATGCAGGTAGCCTCCAGGAACTGAGGACCCCTGGCTGACAGCACCTTACAGTCATGTGGAACTAAATTTTGAAAACAACTTAAATGAGCCTATGGAGGACTCTCCCTCACAGCCCCTGGTAAAAGCTCAGGCCATGTGACGCCTTGACTTCAGCACTAAAACCTAGATCAGAGAAGCCACTGAACTTACCTGTACTTCTAACCCAGAGCCACATGATAACATATTTGCATTCTTTTAATTGTAGGACAAAATGCCTTTACTTTTAGGAAGTGCAAAGGATTGAACCCAGTGCCTCACACATGCTAGGTAAGCACTCTGAAAAGAAAACTTGTACACTGTTTTTTTTTTTAACTTTTTAGTTGCTGATAGACCTTTATTTTATTTATTTATATGTGATGCTGAGAATCAAACCCAGTGCCTCACAAATGCCAGGCAAGTGTGCTACTGCTGAGCCCCAGCCCCAGCCCCTAGTTCACTGGTTTTTTATTTTTTAAGTTTTAGTTGTAGATGGACACAATACCTTTATTTATTTGTTTTTATGTGGTGCTGAGAATTGAATCCAGTGCCTCACAAGTGCAGGCATGCACTCCACCACTAAGCTACAGCCCCAGCTTTTCATGTTTTTTTTTTTCAATCTTTTTAAAGAAAGGGTCTTAGCTGGGCATGCCTGTAATCCCACTGGCTTGGGAGGCTGAGGCAGGAGGATAGTTAGTTCAAAGGCAGCCTCAGCATAAGCAAAGCACTAAGCAACTCAGTGAGACCCTGTCTCTAAATACAATACAAAATAGGCTGGGGATGTGGCTCAGTGGTTGAGTGCCCCTGAGTTCAATCCCCAGGACCCCTCTTCCCCCAAAAAAGAAAGGGTCTTGCTAAGTTACCCAGTTTAGTCTTGAACTTGTGATCCTCCTGCCTCAGTCTCCCAAATTCTAAGTTTGCTGATTTTCTAGACAGGAAGACAACCATACACAACTCCCAAGAACTAGGAAAGGATGGCAGTGGCTGGGGGGTGGACATGAGGTCAAGGGTTTTGTGTGCATGTGGTGCTGAGGATTGAATCAAAGCCTTATGCATTCTAAGCAAGTGATCTACCTCTGAGCAACACCTCCAGCCCTTTTCATTTTGAGACAGAGTCTCAGTTGCCCAGATTGGCCTCAGTTGCCATTCTTCTGCCTCACTGCTCCCAGCAAGTGTTTCTTTCTTTCTTTCTTCCCCCCCACCCCCCTCTGGTGCTGGGGATTGAACACAGGGCCTTGTGCAAGCACTTTACCAACTGAGCTACTTCCCCAGCCCAAGAGTGTTTTTTTTTTTTTAAGTGTTGCTGACAGAAGACAGAGGTAACACTGTGACTTGCCCCTCACAGGACTCATGACAACTGGTTTACCCCAAGTCAGCTGCATGGCACAAGTCATCTTTACTACCTGCAGGTGTTCATGGCTGCAAGCCATGCAGTGACCTTCCAAGCCTACAACCTGTGGGCAACAGGATAGGGGTTTAGCTCCCCTGAGGATGACCCCTATACAGCCTGACACAGAAACCATACTGATAGTACCCCCTTCCTCGCCTCATGTCCCCACCCTAACTAGTGTTTTCTGCTGTCCCCTCTCAGCTACATGGACTTGAATCCCTGTTTCAACTCAACTTCTGGGGGAAACCTGCACTAAGTGTGTCTACTGCCCATGGAGCACCCACAGAGCCCCACCTTGGACAGCGAACCTTTTCCTAGGAAGCTCTTTTTCTTAATCTTACACCTTCCCAACGGAGAGATTGGTAGAGCCCCTAGGCCCAGCCTGATCCCAGATGCCTCTCTGCCAGCTCTTACTGTCCTCCAGGTGTTTGAGATAATTGGCAAGTTTCAGGAGTCCACAGATAGGCCTTCTGGCTTCACTCACTAAAGCCCTTTGCAGACATTCTCTTGATAATTTAACCCCCAAACAGAACCTGGCCTGCCAAAAACAGGCTGACCCTCAGGTGCCTGGGGTCATCTTGAAGCAGGGTGGAGCCCATCCATAGGCAAAAGGCCTTGCTCCCAAGGGTCAGGCTACGGGGGCTACAGACATAAGATCGGCCAGACATAAGATCACCATTGCCTCCAGTGTCCCCAATAGGTGTCAGCCTTTCCAGGGGACCTAACAGGCCTTACAGACCTAGGACGCACTAGGTCTGGCCCCGCCAAGTCATCCTGAGCTGTTTCTGGAGGCGCAGCCCCGAGGTGAGGAAGTATAGCCTGGGATGCCAACGTAGCTGTGCTGGGAGCTCCGCCGCAGTCTTGCAGGCGGGCGGGCGAGTTGAGTTCGGGTGGGCGGGCCCGGCGCAGGCAGGTGATCCAGGCCGTCCTGCGGGGCCTGGAGAAGGACCGGAGCAGGTTGTGGGGACCGCGAGCTAGCGGAAAGAGGCTGTGCCGCAATCGGGGACACAGCCCCACGGGCAGGCCCCCGCCACCACCGCGCGCACAAAGCTTCCCGCGAAACTGACGTCGTGCCGGCCCGCCGCGCAGGCGCCGCCCCCGGCCCGCCCCTCCCCCGCGCTCGCCCCGCGCTCGCCCAGCTTCCAGCACGCCGGCGCACCCGCTCTCCTCCCATTGGCCGCGGCGCGTCGGCGCGCGCCAGCCGGCGCAGGGCGCGCCCTTCCATTGGTCGGGCGGCTGTGTCGGGGGTGTGTCCCGGCAGCGCCCCGCCCCTCTGCTCCGCTCTCGGGGGTGCGCGCGGCGGCGGCGGCGGCGGCGCGTGGCAGGTCCGGCGGGCGCGAGGCGGCGGCGGCGGCCCGAGCGCGGCCCAGCCTCGTCCGCCCTGGGCCCGCCCGGCCCGACCCCGGCCCGCCCGGAGCGCCGCGGCCTCGCCTCGGCCCGGCGCCTCCCGAGGGAGCGGCGCTGCCGGCCGAGAGCGCAGGCCCGGCCATGACCGACTTCAAATTGGGCATCGTGCGGCTCGGCCGGGTGGCCGGGAAGGTGAGCGGCCGGGCCTGCGCGGGCCAGGCGACGGGCGGGCGGGGCAAGTGGGGCTCGAGGGCCCGGCTTGGGCCGGGTGCCGCTTTCCTCGGGCCAGCCGACGCGCCCCTCTGGCTTCCCGACGCACCGGGCCGGGCCGGCGGGGTGCGGAGGCGGCCGGCCGCGCTCACCCGGAGCCCTCCCGGGCAACCACGGCCGGGCCTAATGTCGGGGCTGCACCTGCGACCGCCGGGTTTGAACAGAGCGCCCTTTCCGCGGCCGCCCCCGGCGATCTCACCGGCGCGTCTGAGGCGTGCTGCGCCGTGCCTACCGGCCCGCCGAGCTTCGGGGATCTTTTTAGCGCTCCCAGGGGCTGGCCAAGTTCGCCTTGGGCTTCCTCACCGCGGGGACCTGGAGCCAGGGATTCTCTCTGCTGCTCTCCAGTGCCTGGCCCCGCCCTCCGCGTGTTTGAGGCCGCAGCTGCCGTGGCACCTGTGGGCTTTGAGGCTTGGAGGTGTTTAGGAGCCAGGGACCTTATCCAGTCCCCACAACCAGTGGCTGCAGCTCCTGGTGGGACAGGAGTGGAGGCAGGGTGAAGTCAAACGCCGGAAACTGGTTTAGATCCTAGAAGAGACCCTGAGAGGCTGCCTCGGAAACTGTCTTCTGTCCCTTCAGCAGAAGCTCAGCAAGGACTGTTGGGGATGTGAATTCCCGACTGGGAAAGGGTGGGACCATAAGTGAACATAAATAAAAACCTTAAGGCTTTTATTTGGAACATTTCAGGCAGGTAGCTAAGAAGCCTAGTCCAGTAAGCACGCATACTTACTGCCCAGCTTAATGAATAAACATTAAGACCTTCTGAATATCATACTTCAGCCTTGGCCCCTCCCTCTGCTCCACTGGAACCAACTTTCAATAGGTTTATTGGTACATTAAAGCTCAGTGCCACTTGCTGGAGTTGTGTTGTGCAGATGGGTATGTTCCCTTGGTACAGACTGATGTGGCCATGATTTGGTTTTGTTGGTTTGCCTGCTCTTTGGTGTAGACCAGTGTACACCAATGAAGTGGAATAAGGCTGCCACTTGCTGATCTATCTTGTCCTGAAGAGGCACATAGTTACTTTCTATTTCACAAGAAAATTAGGTTGGCTCCTGCCTGTTACTAGTTACTGTTCCTTGTGAGTATTGCAAATGTAACTTGTGTGTGGTTAATTTCTAGACCAAATACACATTGATAGATGAACAAGACATCCCATTGGTGGAGAGCTACTCCTTTGAGGTAAGGATGACTGGTGCTTTCATATTGCTTTTGGTTGGTGCCTGGGAAGGGTCATGAGGAGTGAACTTCCTTCCCTGTGCTATGTGAGCAAGTGGTTAGCCACCGCTGGCCTGTGGACCCTCAGGTCCACACTGTTGATTCCCACTGGAACCTGTCGCAGTCCTACTGCTCTTTCCCCAGCCTCACTCACCCTGCTTGCTGGCTCTTGAGAACACACCAGGTCTGGTTGTGTTTGTGACGGGATGTCTATTAACTCAGATCAGGGTGCAGCAGTCTTCACCTCTGCACAGTGTGAGGGGAAGTGGTCCTGCTCCTTGCCAGTGTTCTCAGTGGGAAATGTCCATTCCTGCTGCTACTTGGCACAGAAGCCCTCAACCACCAGTGTCCCCACTCCATGATTTCATATCAGCACCTCACACTTTGTAGACACTGCTTATTCAGGGGTTTCTCTTCCTTGCTAGATTGTGGGCCTTTTTGTTAAGAATGGGAGAATGTATTTCTCTGTGACAATAGTAGAGTTTCTTGCCCAAATTGAAGATAATGTGTTTGTTTTTCAGCGATTGGCCTTTGGTGTTTGTGTCTAAATGAGTCTCTCCAGACCCCCAGGGTCCTGAGAATAGGCTGGCATTTGTCCTTCTGGCTGTTTGTTTTGCTTGATTTCCCCGTTGCTCCAAGTACTGGAGATTGAATCCAAGGGTCCTCTACCACCAAGCTACATTAAGTATTGCCCACTCGCTCCAAGTACTGGAGATTGAATCCAGGGGCCCTCTACCACCAAGCTACATCAAGTATTGCCCAGAGTTTGAGGCTTGTTTAACAAACCTTTTCCCCCCCCTTTTTTTTTTAAGGCCCGAATGGAAGTAGATGCAGATGGAAATGGTGCTAAGATATTTGCATATGCCTTTGACAAAAACCGAGGAAGGGGATCAGGCAGGCTCCTTCATGAACTGTTGTGGTGGGTATTTTCCAGAGGCCTTCCATCTCCCATCTGGGTCCTGTGTAAGCTCTGATGTGCAAGTATGCCTGAGGCAGTAGAGCTGGGTGAAATTGGATTAGCCCCACTTTCTCTGGGTCTGGGTCTGAAGAATTGTTTCTGTGTCTTTTGCCAGTAACCCAAAGGAATGGTGAATTTGCATGTTGTGGTACTTCAAAAACCAGGTGGGGACTGGGGTTGTGGCTCAGTGGTAGAGTGCTTGCCTAGCATGTGTGAGGCTCTGGGTTTGATCCTTGGCACCACATATAAATAAAGAAAGGTCTATTGACGCTAAAAAAATATTAAAACAGAAAAACAAACCAAGCCAGTGTTCTGCTGGGGCAGAGACTCCTATGGAGGAGGGGGATTCTGCTCTCTTTGTTGGGCTCTCACTATGCCTGTTGTGGGGTTTAGTCTACCTCCCTGGGAAGCAGGCCACCAATGTTTGTTGTACACTGTGGGGCTCTGAAATGTTGGGACCACCCAGATGCAGAGCTGGTCTCAAAGATGGCTGTTCAAATAGTTTTTGGGTTTCATCCTTGGTTCTCATGAGTCCAGCCCTTAAATCCTGGAGCAGAATTGTCAACATGGATTCCTGTGGGCATCCTCCCCTGGGTGTACCTCCTGTCCATAGGATGAGGAGCCAGTTCAGACCAAGTAGCTGAGACTTTTCTGGCTGGATTTGCATGTTAACCAGAGATATCTGTGAGGGTCAGAGATGGCACTCTAGAAGATGTTTTTCCCCAGGGAGAGGCACAGGGGCGGCGTCGCTCCCGGCTTCCAGGTAGTGCACCTCAATGCTGTGACTGTGGACAACCGCCTGGACAACCTGCAGCTGGTGCCTCGGGGCTGGCGGCCCAAAGCTGAAGAGACCTCCAGCAAACAGAGGTGGGTTTTTCCTATTGTGCTTCCTCCAGAATCTCAGAACCAAGAGGGTCATGTTCCCACTGTGTCATGATGCCTGTGTGTGCTTTGGGATCAGGATTATTTTTCCCCAAAGTGTGGTTTTCCCCATTTGTCATGGGAATGGGAAGAATTTCTAGGATTATCTTTCTGGGGTGATCTTATGATAATTGGATTTAGGAATCCATTAGCTGATGTGATGAAGTAGGGCTAGCTAGCCTTGGGCCATACCTGAGGCCTCCTATGCATGTACATGGTCTGTCTGTCATGTTCTTTTGCTAAGCAGTTTTCCTTGAGTAGAGGTTTGAAGAAAGCAGGATGGTGTGGTTTGGGGGCGTGACCTCTCAGTTTCCAGCTCTCTGAAGTCCTAAACACAGTACTCTGTACAAGCTTCCATGTAGGAGGGCAGTTCTTGCTGCCCCAGGACCAGCCCATCTCTGATACTTGTGGAGCCCTTGGGAAGATCTGAGGGACCAGCAAGATGGGGTTGGGAGCTGAAATGAGCCCAGGAGTCCTCAGCTCCACATGCATCCTTGACCTGTTCACAGACTTCTGGGCTTTCTGTGTACTTCCTCAAGCTGGGGGTGGTCTTTCCCAATGTTGGCAGTGCTGACTACCCCAGCAGGACAGTTCAGTGTTTTGGGTGATGAGCTGAACATTCACTTATTGCCTTCGGATCGTGCCAGAGCCCTGTGCAGTGGGAGAGAAGTGGCAGGGCCACCCTGCAGGCTGCTGATGGTGATGCTAGAGGACAGTCCCTAAGTCCTTGAGGGCCACTTCGAAACTGCTACTCTGGCCCCGTGGTGTCCTGCAGACTGTACCTCATTCATTCTTACATGGACTTTGGCAGGTAAAGGCAGAGCCTGGGAGTCTCTGCTTTCCATGTGGCTCTTGGTTTTGTTCTGATACAGAGTTGTGATGCTTCAGTTCTTTCTTAACTGCTCTTGAGTGAACCTGAACCTTTTATAAATGTTGAGTAAAGGGTTTTTATCCTTTTGGGAATTATGTTGGGTGGGACTTTAGGTTGCAAGTAAAAGAAACTGAATTCAATTTGGCTGAAGCAAAAATAGGGCACTTATTTTTCCCTGACAGAAATGTGGAGAGCCAGGGTTGATGCTCATCTTGCAGTTCTGTCCCTCAGGGCTTTTCCCAGGTGGGGGAGTGGTCTTCATCAGCAGCAGGCCTATTCATTACTGTAGAGGGAAGTCCCAGGGCCCTTTCAGGTAGCTTGCTTTTCTATCCTGGAGCTGGGGCTGAGATCAGGTCTCTCATAAAAGGAAACCAGGGTTGTATCATCAACAAAGGGTAGTAGGTGCTTGGGGGGCAAAACCAACATCTGGCGTTTCTGCTTGGTTGTCCTATTTCCCTAGTGTAGATGTGGGGTCACCTTTCCCAGCTTCATGCGGCTCCCTTTGGGGCATATACTGTATGGACCCTCCCCGTATTCAAGCAAGTCCCCGTGCACCCACCATATCACCAGCAGTGGGTCCATTCTGCTGTGGCTCCCATTACCTCAGATAGGTCCCCATGTGATGGTCTGGCCATCCTGTGGCTAAATATTACCTGTAGGCCTCTGAATATCTTTTATGATTATCAGATACAATAACCACAATTACGAACCTCTGGGGGGGGGGCTGTGGTTGTAGCTCAGCAGTAGAGCGCTCACCTAGCATGTATGAGGTGCTGAGTTCGATCTTCAGCACCATATAAAAATAAACAAATAAAATAAAGATATTAAAAAAAAAAGTCCTTTAGGAAAGGGGGCAGCCACAGCCCTGAGTAATAGAGGTTCCTGGTCAACTCGTCTAGCAACCCTTCCCCCTCTGTTCTATGTCCATTTGGGGAGATTCCTTCTGCAGTTGTGCCCTATACCTGCAAGCACCTCCTGCTGGTAGAAGTGACTTGGGCAACTAGGACTTAGTAGGTGTCATTCTTGGCTTTCTGATATGGGTTTTGGAACTTAGCAGTGTAGAGCACTTGTACTGGGTCAGGCCCCAGGCCAGAAGCAATAGTCAGAGCCAGTCTGAGTGAGCCTCAAGTTCCAGCTGCTCCAGGTTGTATATCCTGTTTCTTGGCTTAAAGCCTTCACATGGGCTGGTTCTTAATCCTACATATCCTACATAGGATTACTCTTCTCCCAGGCCTGGACTTTGTACTTTGCTGTCCTGGTTGATATGGGACAAGTTTAGCTCATCTAAAGGGGCCTCTTTGCAAACCTGATCCCCTCCTCCTGCTTCCAAAGGGCTGCTCATGAACCTCACAGAAGGGCTTAGAAAGCTGCCAGCATCCTTCCATATGTTGACCCTCCCTTTCTGAACAGGTGCCTCATGGTCTGGCTTCCATTAAGTGGGATGGTCAGAGGAGTAGGTTCAGTGGCTCCTTGGCTCCCGTGGTGTGGGCTGTACCCCTTGAAGCCCAGCACAGGGCTGGAGTCCTCCACACTCAACTCTTGTTTGGGGGCTTTATACTGTAATATGTGCCCTCTTGATCTCAGTTCTTAGTAGAATTCTTGGTAGCCTCTGACTCATTCAAGTGGTGGGAGGTGGTTAGAAGCACATAGGACAGCCCAAAAAATTGAAGGGGAAATGGCTTGATAGGTCAGTAAGGGTGCCTCCAAGGGTCATAAGTAAGGTCTGAATTGTCCATATTCTGTGCCTGCTGTGTGCCCATTAGCCCAGATGTTGGGGAGGGTGACAAATAAGGCAGTGCTTATGTGTTGTTAGTGGGAGATTGTTATGCTAAATAGTTAATGTCATGTAGTGATAAGCACACGGCAGAGATGGGCAAACAGAAATCAAATTGCTGGAACAAAAACTGGTGTCCTGAAGCTGCACCATCTTCCCTGTGTGCTGCCCTGAGCCAAATATACTGAGGCCTCTACTTGCTTTTAGGGAGCAGAGCTTGTACTGGCTTGCAATCCAGCAGCTTCCCACGGACCCTATAGAAGAACAGTTCCCTGTCCTGAATGTGACCCGGTACTACAATGCCAATGGGGATGTGGTAGAAGAAGAGGAGAACTCCTGTACCTACTATGAGTGTCATTACCCTCCCTGCACAGTGATTGAGAAGCAGGTACAGTGTGTAGCAATGAGGCCTTGGTTGCTGGCCACCTCACCCGCAGTTTGGCTATGGCATGGACCCAGTAGACCCTGGGTGTTTCCCTAGCTTTCCACCGGGGTGGTTCTCCCTTTACTCTTGTGCCTAAGCAGGCCCAGGCCTTACAACTCTGATGCTTGTTTTTTCTGTTGGGTGGTTGGTTTGTGGTGCTGGGGCTGGAACCCAGAGCATTGCACATGCTAGGCAATTGCTCTGTGGTGGAGCTATATACCAGCCTGGCAAATGGGGTTTTGCCAAGTCTTTTCAGGTTCTACCCCACATTGCTTCCCAGAAATGATGGTGAAGCCACATGTTCTGTTTCAGCTCCGGGAGTTCAACATCTGTGGGCGCTGCCAGGTGGCCCGGTACTGTGGCTCCCAATGCCAGCAGAAGGACTGGCCTGCCCACAAGAAGCACTGTCGGGAGAGGAAGCGTCCCTTCCAGCACGAGCTTGAGCCGGAGCGATGACGGGCAGCGGAGCTGCCATTGACGCGGGCCTGTGACTTCGGGCTCTTCGTGGACACAGCAGAGACAGACAGGCGCTTGAACCTGGAGGTGCCGAAGAATCCAGTGGCAAGCCCAGAACAGCCACCATGAGTCTCCCCATGACACATGCTGTCTGTGGGGACAGTGCTCCTCCAGTGTTAAATGTCCAGCAGAGACAACGGGGAGGCTCCCCGGGACCTTTCTCATTATTTATATGTTAATATGTTTGTAAACTCATGTACAGTTTTTTTGGGGGGGAGGCAAGGGGAGGGTTAGAAACTACAAATAGGATCATTTGCTGTAAGCCTCAAATGGCAAATGGTCGGCCACAAGTCTAGAAACTCAATAGTGGAGCTTCTCTCCTGGGCAGTGGGGTCCCCACTGAGGGTGGCCTGCACGAAGTTGTGTCCAAAAGGACAGAGTAAAGGGTGGAATCATCTTCTGTCTCGGCTGTTCTCTGCTCCTCATTCCATCTGTTGAGGGCCAGGCGTATTTTTGAGTGGAATCAGCCAAGTGTTGTGGAATGACAGGACCTGCTGTGCTCTTTGTTGGCCTCTGAGGAGCAGAGCATATCAAGCCTCTCTGGAGTCTGGCTGGGAGTGCAGTGAAACTTGGTCAGTAGGATCAGTGGGGGTGGTCTAAGAGGCCAGCCACCATTTCAGTAGCTGTGGGATACATTAGATCGGAATTGGCCCTAGATTCTACCTTGCTTGAAGTGGGAGTTTCTTCCCAGAATGGTGCGCACAGCCTGCCTAGCATGAAGTGAATGACACTTCTCCACCCATTGGCCCCCGGGACAGCCATCCTTCTCCCTTTGGGGGCTGCAGATGTCAGGGCTGTCCAGTGTGTTATCCATTTAGAGCCCCTCTGTTACTGGGATTTTGCCTTTCTTCGGGTCTAGTCAGCTGTCTTGCCCCCAGGCTCTTCCCATCCAACTGGGCATCATGGCCCTGGGCCCTGTGTTGGTCTGTAGGCTCTGCTACAATGTCTCTTGTAGCATTTCTGCCATGTTCTAAGATGCCCTGTGTTCTCATGCTTGTTCCTGGCAGATCATAGCCCTTTGGTGGCCTTTGGCTTGTGAGAAAGCTCCTGTGTCTGCTACCCCCCCCCCCCTTTTTTAACTTTATGTGGTGCTGAGGATCAAACCCAGTGCCTCACATGTGCTAGGCAAGCGCTGTACCACTGAGCCACAATTCTATGGCTTTTTTTATTGTACCTCCTGGAGGAGGAAGGACAAAGGAAAAGGTGATATTGAGCTGGGCATGGTGGTGTACACCTGTAATCCTAGTGACTTGGGAGGCTGAGGCAGGAGGAATGTAAGTTCAAGGCCAACCTCAGCAATTTAGTGAGGCCTTAAGCTTAGTAAAATCCTGTCTGAAAATAAAAAATAAAACAAAGGTCTGGGGATGTAGTTAAGTGCCTCTGGGTTCAGTCCCCATTAAAAAAAAAAAAAAAAAAAATAGGTATTGCATAATTCCTGAATGGCTTTCTGGACCATGAGAACTCCCATACATCCACAGGGGTTCTGCACCACAGATTCCCAATCCCTGTCCCCGACCTTTGCTGGGTAGTAGAGATCCCTGCTCAGACTATAAGTGGAACAGTAATGGGGCCTCAGAAAGCTGTTGGGGAGGGGAGCTATGTGTGTGCTGAGAGAGTGAACAGCAGCTGGCTGGAATCCTTGAGTGTCCCAATGCTGGAGTAACCTTGCTTCCAATGTGTTGCCAGGACTGTTTGGGTGGAGGGATCCTGTATGGCTTGGCATGTTGTGTCTTGGGTGTTCTTCAGGCATGGGGCTTTGCATTCCCCCAGGCAATCTGCTGTCAAAGGCTCAGAGAAGACAGTTGGCAAGCCTTGGTCAGCTTGTGTCCTTAGGGAAGTGGCCATGTTGGAACTTGAACCTGGCTGTGCCCTCTGACCAGCCAAGCTGCCTTGCTCTGCAGTTAGCTTTTGTATCCCCAAATTAAACTGGAAGTGCTCAGGTTCTCAAAACCAATCTGTAAGGGCTGTGCTGACAAAGGGATGTATGTAGGTTTGGGGCTTGCCTGTGAGTGCCTACCCTTCCCCTCATGCCCACTGGCACAGGTTTTGCTATGTAGGTGAGATGGGCCCATTTTCACTCCTTTGTGCTTCCCTGTGATCCTGACTTCTTTTTGAAAATTTTCTAGTTTTCAGTAGACCTTTATATTTTATTTATATGTGGTGCTAAGAATCGAATCCAGTGCCTCACGTGCTAGGCAAATGCTCTACTACTGAGCCATAACCCCAGTCCCTGATCCTGACTTCTTGGTCCTTGTAACCATGTATCTGGGCTGTTCTAGGAGAAATTCAGGTGGTTCAGGTATGGGGCTTATTCCTACCTTCTCAGTGGTATGTTGGACTGCTTGGCCTCAGAGCATTCTTTGTGGGAGGCAAAGCTGAGGGATTGTGGTTATTCAGCATGCTCTGGTGCTTTTGCCTTAACTGCTATCTGGGAACTGTTCCTCAGAGTTGGACTTCTAGCCACAGGCCCCAGCCACAAGGCGGGATGCCCAGATATTATGTGAATTTGTCTCCGTGTGTCTGCATGGAGCTCCCATAACGGACTACTGTGAACCAAATGGCCTAAAACAACAGGTTATTGTTTCAGGGTTCTGGAATCCAGAAGTTGAATAAGTAGCTGCCAGCACCACACTCCTTCAAGGGTGCTAGGGAAAGATGTTTCACTTGCCTCTCCCAGCACCAGTAGTCTCCTGGTCTGGTAGATGCCTAGTTCCAATGGCAGTCTTCAAATGACACCCTCCACACCCCCGGGGGGAGGGTGTCCTGGCCTGGTCTTCCTCTGCAATTGCATGTCCACGTTTTCTTTTCCATAGACACCTGTTATACTGCATCAGGGCCCACCCTAAGGACCTCATTTTAACTTGATCTCTATTTCCAAAGGCCACATTCCGAGCCTCACGTGTCTCTGGGCAGGATGCATACAACCCAATGTCGCCGACTTGCCTTCCTGAGTCTTTGGGCTCAGGGATTTTCTTGAGCAGTTTCAGCAGCTACTCAGCCTCCCACTAAGGGTCACATTACTCCCCTTACCAAACTGCTGCCTCACTGCGCCGTCCAGCGCCAGGCTACCCCTCCCGCCCGCCAAGGGGCGGCATCGCCAAGCCCAACGTGAGGCGCGCCCTGCACCGGGTTCTCGCCGCGGTCCGCCTGCCTACAGGGGGCGCAGCACCCCGGTGGCTTCAGGCGGCCGGAAGTAGTACCCCGGAAGGAGTTGGCAGAGGCTGCGCCTGAGCGAGTGTGCTTGCGTCCTCGCCTCGTGTGTCTCGCGTCTTTCGGGGCTAGATGGCGGGCCGCTGTGCGCGGGTGCTGCAGGCCGTGGACACCGAGTTCACCGCGGACAGCGTGGAGTGGTGCCCGCTGGAGGGCTGCCGACACTTGCTAGCCTGTGGCACCTACCAGCTGCGCAGGCCGGATGCCGCGTCCAGGTCCAAGGTGTGCGGGGCGGGAGGCCCGGGGACAGGGCCCCCAGGGCGCACGCGGGGCGGGAGGCGGCCACTGGCCTCCAGAAAAACCACTCAGATTCGTGAGCGGCACGGCCCAGGCACACTGTTGGAATCTGCAGTAAAGATAAGAGTACCTGCTAGGATGATGCCTGCCCGCTGGAAGGGATCTCTGAGAACGGAAATGGCTGCTGAAAAGTGAGGGCGGACCAGGTCAGGACTCCCAGCGCAGTTAACCTAGCCGTGCTGGGTCCTGTTGGCCCATATAGGAACTGTCTGTGCTGGGTGGGGAGAGTTCACCTGCTTATTGATCACATGCCAGAAGAGAGACACTTGACCCACTCAGGAAATTAAGGACTCTGCTTCCAGGCAGAGGGCCGCTTTGCCAGTCTTGGTTTACCTTTCTTAGTGGATCCGGTTTCCCAAATCTTGTGTTCTTGACATCTGTTGGGGGTAATCAGAGAATGTGCATATTTTGTAGGGTGGACTGGAGGTTGAGGAGCCTCACGTCCGTTTAGGTCGTCTCTACCTGTACAGTTTCAATGAGGACAACTCTACTTCCTCTCTGGCTGAGGTCCAAAGAAGAGATACTGCTGCAATCCTGGACATGAAATGGTATGACTTTGATAGCAACCCCACCTGGTCTGGAATTGGTCCTGAGCCTCTGCTCACCTAATCATGGAGTCCCATGCTTTGGCATCTTCATCAAGTAGCTGCTTCTGTGTTGTCCCACCTGCCAATGGGCATGTGGCAGGCACTTTTCTTGGGCTCATCTCCCTGTCAGTTTCCCATTCCCAGAGTCAGAATCAGCCTAGTAAGCAATGAGAATTGTGATTTTATGAGCTGGGAAACTTTTTGTATGGGAGCAGGATTATAAGCTCTAGCTTGGTTAGAGATTTGAAATTTAAATAATAAATTACTGGAAAGCACAATGTCCCCCTCTTCTGGTGTGTGTTCTGTGTTCTCATGTGTGAGTTCTCTCCAGGTGCCACATCCCAGTGGCCGGCTCAGCGCTCTTGGGCTTGGCAGATGCCAGTGGATCTATACAGTTGCTCCGCCTGGGGGGATCTGAGGTCAGTGACAGGCCAGGCTTTGTGGGGGGAGGAGACTGGAGGGGGTCGGGAGGGGGCTGTGCCTGTGCAGATGCTTTCCTAGAATGGTTCCTTTAATGCTGGACTGTGTCATCAGTATTGTAAGAAGCCATGGGGTCACTTTTAAATTGGACAGGGGTCTGGTGAGAGGAGGTTATTATCTTAGTGGCTCAGCAGAAGGGCTGAAGTGACAGGTAGTTCACACACTGTAGATCTGAGGGTTCTGTAAGGAAAGCTGGGCAAGCATGCCTTGGGTTGATACTGGGACTAAGAATAATGGTGACTTTCCCATGTAAAAACATTTGGGAGAGTGTGTGAGCTCCACATGAGGTTTTCTAAGTGGTTTACGGTGATCCAGTGCCATGGTTTGCAAAATGATTTAATGATTGTTGTAGGAAGAGGGAGACTGTAGATATCATGTGGAATGACACCATCAGCCCACAGCCTACACTCTCTGCTTATGGGAGGAAGGAACATACCCCCGTGCAGGTGCTGCAGTGGGACCAGAGCAGAAGCCCAGCTGGCGTTGATTTGTGATAACTCAGGGCATTGCTTCTGACCTGCTCAGCAGGAGCCTGGTCCTAGAAATGAGGGGAAGAATGTCTGAGGAAGACTGGGCCCAGGGACTATGTTCCAGGCGGGAGCACATACACCCAAGACAGGACTGTAGTGCAGTAGCCTGCTAAGGGCTTCCTGAGGGGGCTGTTTAGATACTTGCACTCACACAGCCACACATGATGGCACATTCCTACAGTCCCAGGTACATGGGAACCTGAGGTGGGAAGATTGCTTGCATTCAGGGATTTGGGAACAGTTTGTATAACCTAGCAAGGGCCTTTCTCAAAAAAAAAGAAACTCGCATAAATCTTAGACAAGAGAACTAACATTTTTAATTAATTTTGGAACTGGGAATTGAACCGAGGGGCACTTAAACACCGAGTCACATCTCCAGACCTTTTTAATTTTCATTTAGAGACAGGGTCTCACTAAGTTGCTTAGGGCCTTGCTAAGATGCTGAGGCTGGCTTTGAACTTGTGATTTTCCTGCCTCAGCCTCCTGAGTTGCTGGGATGGCAGGTGTGTGCCACTATATCTAGTGAGAAGTAGCATTTTAATGGCTGTTATGACTTCTGAAATGAAAAGCAGAGGAAAGCTCTTATTGTCCCTGCCTCTTGGGACAGAATTGCCAGGACCTTAGGAGGCCTGGGATGGTGCAGAGCATGTGTCAGGCATGGTTCTTGAGCGTGGAGACAGCAGATGTGCCTGAGCGTCCAGGTGGCTAAGAGACCATGCCCCGGGTCAAGAGTGTGGAGACATCTCGAGGTGTGAGCTCCAGCATCCTCAGTCCCGTCCTGTGCCTGGCTCGTAGCAGGTGTTCCAGTCTTGTGTGACTGTGTACCAGTAGCTGATGGCTGTTTCCATGGGAGGGGACAAGGGAGCATGTTTGCCTGGACAGGGGAGTTCCTTTCTTTCCAGTAGAAGAGCAGCAGCCTGTTGCAGCCAGTGTCCAGCGTCATCCTGGAGGAGCAGTGCCTGGCCTTGTCCCTGGATTGGTCCACTGGGAAATCCGGAAGGTAAGTGCCAGGAGGGCCTCAAGTCATTCCTCTGATAATTGAATTTCCTATTTTCAGGCCAGAGAGAGTTTTGAGCCTTGATTCCTGTATTTGGGAACATCACTACCAATCCTAATTAAAAAAAAAAAAAAAAATCATTGATCTTGGATAAATGGCAATAAAGTTTTCCTCAGAGAATGCAACACTGGTTTCTGTGATTACCCAGTGGCAGATACCCAAGCAAGCCTTAAGGTGTGTCCATATGCCAGAGCTTTGGAGAACCTCACCTGGGACTTGGTTGTGAACCAGAAGAGGGTGGTGAGTGTGCTCATTGGGCTTCTCCATCGGTTCTACATGTCTAGGGCCAGTGACCAGCCCTTGAAAATCATCAGCAGCAACTCCAAGGGGCAGCTGCACTTCCTGAAGGTGAATGAAGCGGGGCCTGGGCTACAGCACGTGGCCTCCTGGCAGGCCCATCACTTTGAGGCCTGGATCGCTGCTTTCAATTACTGGCAGACAGAAGTGGTATATTCAGGTCAGTGTTTCTGCACAGGGTCTTGACCCACTTGCCTCTGACAGGAGACTTGGGAGGGAGGGAGGGGATGAGGCTTGGCCCAGGGCCAAAGTGCTGGGTGTGCTGGGCTCCTGAGGGCATTGTGTGGAGAGTGTCTTCTGGGACAGCAGCTGGCACTGGTGCCACTTCCTGTTCCTTAGCAGGCTTCGGGCATCACAAGTCTTGGGTGGAGCAGGTACCTGTGGAGCTGTCCTGCCTCCATGGCACTCAGTACCAAATCCTCAGTCCCGTTTCTTGCTTGATATCTGTTGACTTTGTCGTGTTGGGTTTCAGGTCTCTCCTTTCTGATTATAGCTCACCTTCCAAAAGAAAATGTGAGAGAAATAGGGTGAATTCTTTGTCTTTTTGAGTGATTTGTACTTTGGGATGATGATGTGGGAATGATAAATTGACAGAACTCGGCATTTGGGTAGCTTCTCCCAAGGGGTAATTTGAGGGAGGGTGGAAGAGTTGGGCTCTGAAGAACAGAACAAAGTACACAAGAAAAGACCTGCTCTGGTTTCTGAGCTCCACCTGGCTGGTGGCAGTGGCTGCAGTCCTGGTGCAGTGCAGTGCAGGGCAGTTCTTTTAGGCTGTCAGAAACTGCACAGCCTCTTCCACTAACTCTCTGGCCCAGGTCTTTACTGGTGGCCGTAGCTCTCAGCCTAGTGCTCCCAGCCTCGCTGGGCAGTCTCCCTGCACATTTGCCATGCCTCACCCTCTGCTGTGCACCTCTCAGGTGTCTCTGGGATAGCCTTCCTTTCTGCTTTGCTCCTCTTCCTCAGCACAGAAGGGTTGGTTTCATCTGGCATCTGTCTGGATCCTTTTCTCACTCTCTGTCTTTGCTTTCCTTGCCTCAATTACTGTTTTCTCAGAAGCAACCACATGTTTATTGCTTTTTATTCTGAACTCAATCCATTTTTCTTGCTGGCAGGCAAGATGTTTCTGCTACCTAGAACTGAGCTCATTACATCCGACCTTTCCTCCCTAGCATCTGTTGAGGGGGATGGTCTTTTGGTTCTGATCTGAAGCCAGGAAGCCATTACCAACTCCTGTGCTCCTCACCTCCCAAGAGTCCCAGTCCTAACTAGTTTTATCTTTTTTATTTTTGGTTGCAGATGGACACAGTATCTTTATTTATTTTTATGTGGTGCTGAGGGTCCAACCCAGGGCCTCACACATGCCATGCAAGCAAGTGTGCTACCACTGAGCCACAACTCCAGCTGTGATTTTATCTTTTGAGCATCCCTTGGAATTGGCCACCTTTTGCTCTTTTCCTGGCAGAACTGTGCAGGCTGTGGTCTCATCTAGCTGTCTGCAGCAGAGCACTAAGTGATGGCCTAACATCCATTCTGTTCCTTCCTAGGTCAAAATCATAAAAAACATAAAGAGCTTATCACATCTTACAAATCGCCCCCTTTGCAGTTTCCATTTCTTTTAGGATAAAATTCAAAATACTTAATCAAAATGCTTAACTCAAAATACTTAATCTAATCAGTTTTCCCAAGACCTTGTGTGATCTGGCTGGTGCTTACCTCTCTTCTCTATTCTGAGTGAGGTATCTGTGTTCTTCATCATCTCTCCTGAAATGTTCCATTTTCTCTCTGGGTCTCGACGTTTCATCACAGTGTTTCTTCCAGAGATTGTTTCCACTTTTCTGGCATGCTCAGCTTAAAGTCTTTGAAGAAGCCCGTGTAGGACACCCAGCCTCACCAACCAGGTCAGGCCTGGTCCTGCACTGCTGTTGTCATGGTACCCTTTGCTCATCCCACTTAGGATGATATGCTTCGTGTTCAGTTTTCCTGAGGGAGAGTCCTTATCTGTGTTATATGTATCACATCCTTGAACAGTTCTGAGACCAAAATTCTTTTTTTTTTTTTAGTTCTCTCCATCTTGGATTAGTTCCTCTGCCTTGGGGCTTAGCTAATTCAGAGCAGGGGGTGTGGGAGAGGACAATGACCTAATATTTCAGGACTAATTCAATCATTCAACTAATATACTTTTTTGTTTATTTTTTAGTTATAGATGACACAATATTTTTATTTTTATGTGGTGCTAAGGATTAAACCCAGTGCCTCACGCATGCTAGGTGAGTGCTCTACCTCTGAGCCACAACCCCAACCCCATCATTCAACCAATATTTACTGAGCACTTAAGATGTGCAAGGCTCTGTACTGGATGATAGGGTCATCAGTGAACAAAACAGACCGAAGTCCCTGCTTTCACTGTGCTTCTGTTGAATGGGAAAGATGGAAGATACAAAGTACGATGTATAATAAATAAGGAAGTTGCACAGCACATCAGAGGCAGCAGTGCTTCTGCCTCAGTGGTAGCCTGAAATCATGCAGGACAGTCACCAAGGCTTCACAGATTCTTCCCTGAGAAGCGGCCATCCCCATCACCAGGTCCTCTGCTGATGTGCTGCTTTTGTCCACACAGGGGGGGATGATGGCCTTCTCAAAGGCTGGGACACCAGGATGCCTGCTGTGTCCATCCTCACCAGCAATAGGTAATTGGCCAGGGGGCAACTCACATGCAATCCCTCCCCAACCATCACCCATGGGCCTTCCTTGCCCCCATCATCCCTTGCTCAGGGGCACTCTTTCCCTGCAGACACTCCATGGGTGTGTGTAGCATCCAGAGCAGTCCCCATCGGGAGCACATCCTGGCCACAGGAAGGTGAGTGCAAGTGAAGTCATGGGGGCCTTGCATTTCCCACCTTTCCACCTGGGTATTGTGGCGCGTGGTCTGCCGACCCTCAAGCCACAGTGCAAGGTTGGGTCAGGGGCCTTTGTCCTCCAGGGATGAGTGGGGTGGGTCTCCTGGGAGGTGTTCCCTGCTGCTGCCCTCTTCCCTTGGAGAAGTGAGGCCACTGGTTGCCCGGTTCTAGCTATGATGAACACGTGTTGCTGTGGGACACACGGAGCATGAAGCAGCCGTGGGCAGACGTGCCTGTGCAGGGTGGCGTGTGGAGGCTCAAGTGGCACCCGTTCCACCACCACCTGCTCCTGGTGGCCTGCATGCACAGTGGCTTCAGGATCCTGAGTTGCCAGAAGACCACAGGTGAGTGGGGATCTGCCAGTCTCCTCCCCAGCCTCTGCATGATCCCAGACTACACCAGCTCTTACTGCCTGTGCAGGACTGCAGGTTCAGAAGAGCCTGTGCAGGTTCAGCACCTGGTTCCTCTGACCCCACCAGGACCGTGCCCAGGAGGTTTACTGTCTGACACCCTCACGTCTATATGGCCCACCTCCTCCGTTTTTCCTTCTGGTGAACAACTTGACCCTGTTGTCCCAGTCCCATATGTGCTGATAACTCTTTTCCTTTCTCACAACACCTCTGCCTGGCCTCTTTGTTCTCGTGCCCTTCTCCTCAAGCCCCAGGGCCCCTTTCCCCTCCTCACTCAGCTGTGACCTCTCCTACCTCCCCTCCCTGCCCAAAGGCAGGGGCTTGAGCAGGCAGACCATCCTGGCCTGTGCCACTTGGCCATCGTCCCTAGGGTGCTACCCTGTGCCCCTGCCTCCTCCATTTACTCCCAGGCAGGCTCATAGCCTGCATAGCCATACTCAAGACCTGGCTCTGTAGCTTGCCCTTCTCCCCCGAAGCTCCTCTTCCTGTCTCTCCTTACTGTTTCTGTTGTGCCCTGAGGCTCAAGGTCATCTTAGTGATGGGGGCACCCACAGTGCCACTTGTCCTCCTGAGCCTGTTCTTGCCCATCTATACATTTTGGTTTGTTGAACCTTTCCTTATACTGCTCTGCAGGTACTTCCTCATTTCCCTGATTCTTTTTTTAATACCGGGGATTGAACTCAGGGGGCACTCAACCACTGAGCCACATCCCTAGCCCTGTTTTGTTTTTTATTTAGAAACAGTGTCTCGCTGAGTTGCTTAGGGCCTCACTTTTGCCTCAGCTTCCCAAGCCCCTGGGATTATGGGAGTATGTTCTCCCTGATTCCTTTTGACCATTAAATCGTTTCAGTAGCCTGTTAAACATTTCTGTGAGGTGTCCCTATTTTCTTACTGAAGAAAGCGTTGTGGATTTTCTTTTAATTTATGGGTCGTCCTGGGCAGTGGTCAGTGTACTTCAGCAGAGTGTGTCTGCTATTGGCCGGTGGTGTGCACCTAGATATCTACTGGATCTCACTGATTTGCGAGGTTGCTCTAGTTCTGTTTTGAAAGTGGGCCGCTGAAGTCTCCAGCTGCTGACTGTTCACTTTCTGTTCTACTCTCATTTCTGTCGATTTTTGCTTCATGTGTTTTGGGGCTTTGTTTATATGTGTTTTGATTGTGTGTGTCTCACTAGGGATTAAACTTGGTTTCATGCTAGCAAAGCACTATACCACTGAGCCACATCCCCATCCCTAGCTCTTTTTTTTTTTTTTTTGAGACAGGTCTCGCTGAATTGCTGGGGCTGACTTTGAACTCGCAATCCTCCTGCCTTAGCTTCCCAAGTTTCTAGGATTATAGGCGCATGCCACTGCGTCTGGTCTGAGGCTTTGTTTTAGGTTATGTATGTTTATAATTCTCGTATCTTCCTCATGTGCTGACCCTTCTATCATTACAGTGTCCTATATGTCTGGTAATTTTTTTGGTACTAGGGCTTGAACCCAGAGGTGCTTTATCACTTGAGCCCAGATCTTTTTAAAACTTAATTTAATTTATTATTATTTGATATTATTTTATTTTTTGGTTCTGGGGACTGAACCAAGAGTTCCTTAACCACTGAGCCACATCTGTAGCTCTTTTTTATGTTTTTAATTTGAGACAGGGCTTCTCGAAGTTGCTGAGGCTGGTCTTGAATCTGTAATCCTCTTGCCTCAATCTCCCACTGGGATGATAGGTGTGTGCCACCACACCCAGTTTTTATTTTATTTTGAGACAGGGCCTTAGTAAGTTGCTCAGGCTTGCCTTGAATTTGTGATCCTTTTGCCTCAGCATCCCAAGCTGCTGGGATTAGAGGTTAAAGGAGGTTTTCCTTATCTTCATTTTATTATTTTTCTTTCAAGTGCATAAACACATTAGCAATGTTCTAGAAGTTAAAACTAGACAAAAAGTATGCTCCAGAGAGTCTCTCTTCCTCTTCTTTCCCTTTTCCTTTTTCTATTCACTTCTTATAGGTAAGCAGTGTTATTAGTTTATGGTTATAATTGTGTCTTTTTGCAAAAATAAGCATTTTTTTCTTATTTTTCCACTCTTATAATATGGAACATAGCATTTTATGTATGCTTTTGCGTGTATTGGGGGTGGTCCTGGGATTGAACCAAGGGCCTCACACATGCTAGGGAGGTACTCTACCACTGAGCTGCACACGGAGCACTTTTTGTTTTATTTGAAGATAGGATCTCACTGTTGCCCAGGCTGACCTGCTTGTGATCTTCCTGCCTGAGGCTCCTGAGTAGCTGGGATCACAGGCGTGGCCAGTGCACCCCCCTACACCACCTTTGTTCTTTACTTACTTCTTTTAAAAATGTCATCAAGCAGGGGGCTGGGGCTTTGGCTCACTGCTTATTTCTCGTGACCTGCTGGCTCTGCTCTTCTCTGTTGTTGGCATGTGTGAGGCACCACATAAAAATAAAATAAAGGTATTTTGTCCATCTATAAGTAAAAATATATAAAAGAATAAAAGATAGGTGCATTGGCAGTGTCTATCTAGTCCCAGCACTCAGGAGGCTGAGGCAGTTGCTTGAGACCAGCCTGGGGGCCCGGGGCGTGTGGCTCAGTGATAGAGGCCTGCCTTGTGTTTGAGGCCCAGGCTCCATCCCACGCAGCAGAACACACTTTAGGTCTTGGTGCCCTCCATGTGGCCCCTGGTGCACTGCACATGGCCTTCCAGCTCTGAGTGGGCTCAGGTTGCTCCAGCGCCTCACAGGGCACTCATCTTCCAGTGCACCTCCTCTTGTTCAAGCTGTTTCATGGGAGAAGGGTTTTAGGGTTGCCCCCAGAGGGGGATGGCAGAGTCAGAGGTTGGATACAAGCTGGGTTTTACCAGGCACTGCCATCTTGCAGACAGCCAACCTTGGGACCTGTATCATCTGACGGTGAAAAATGTCATCTCAGTAGTTCAAATTTTCATGTCTCCAGTTGCAAGTGAAATTATCCATTTTTCTTATGTTGAAGGACTGGTTTTGTAATTTTGGTCCTTGAATTATCTTTGTATGTGTTTTGTTTCCTTTTCTCTCTGGTTTCTAATCTTTTTACCTCTCAGTTTTAGAGTTTTTCTTTTTTTTCAACCTACTGGGGATTTTAGCTCTAACTGTGGAATGGGTTAGAAATTTGTCTCTGTTCTTGATTTTGCCATTGAGGTATTTTTTTCTCCATGTAAAAGATTTTTTTTTTTTTTTAAACAAAATCTAATCATACTTAACAATTTTGGGAGTTTTCTTTTCTTTTTTTTTGGGGGGGGGGTGCCAGGGATTGAACCTAGGGGTGCTTAACCACTGAGTACATCCCAGCCCTTTTTAATTTTGAGACAAGGTGTCTCCTAAATTGCTTAGGGCCTCACTGAGTTGCTGAGGCTGGCCTCACACTTGAGGTCTTCCAGGTTCAGCATGTCCTGGATCAGGGCTCAGCCCAGTCTTTGGCTCCCTGCCGAGGGCTCTGCCTTACTTCACTGGAGGTGTGTTTCTTCCAGGTGGCATGGAGCTGGCCTTGCTGTGAGGACAGTGTGGTGCTTGTCTGCATGGGTGGCTGGCTGTGCACACTGGCAGCTAGGCTGCTCTGATACCCACTCTTCACCTCTCAAGTCGCTGCCACTTTGGGTGTCATGGCATACTCACTGCTTGTTTCTCTGTGACCTGCTGGCTCTGCTCTTCTCTGTTGCTCTCAGTGTTTAGGGGAGTTGTACTCTTGTGGTGCTGTCTTCATGCTGATGTTCTAATGAGCTCTGAATGCCTCTGGATCCTTTTCCAAACAGGCTGGCCACGTTACACGAGTTGGTCCTCCTTCCTGCCACCCACAAAACAGCACTGAGTTTATTCTGCCTCCCACTGCTCTTCCCATTCTTAGTGGCTTTTTTCCCCTATTCAACACACTTTTACATCATCATATAAAGATACATATTTTTTGCAGT